TTCTTATTGTACAATCAGAGCATTTTTCTCAGTGTAGCTATAAAGCCAGTTTTCCGGTTTAATGCAAACGAGATTGCTGCAAACGAGAACTCGGGGCATTAACTCGATAATGAATGTTCGCGTTCCTGTCGAAACCGTTAAAATTTCGGTTAGTTCGGTTCCTTGACTCTAAAGTATAGTGATTTAATTAATCGAAGTTGAAAGGATGTGAAATGCCGTAGGAAGTGCGCGATATAAAAGTTCCGACCGAGTTGGCGTGGTCTGGCGATATCGCGGCGTTTCTACTGGGATACGTGAACACAATGTCATTACACACTGCCGTTTGTGTTGGCCGCGTGTACCTTGAACAGAGGAAAAAAACGCCGCATAATAATCGTGACTTGGATTCAAATGAGGGATTTGCTGACTAAGCTCATTTCTCATTAATAGCGCGCGAGAGCACCCTTAATCTTAATAATGGGATAGCCTTTGCACGAAACGTAAAGTAAGGATTACCGAACTGATTCGAAATATAAATGTTTTGCCCTATTAACGTCACGACTTTTTATACGGGGTGTTCCATTTTAATACTAACATCGAAATATCTCGAAAAATATAAAAAATATGGAAAAATATTTCAGGCAAAAATTGTACGGTCTGAAAAAGAACAAATAATGATAAAATTAATTTTAAAAAAACCAATTTTTCCGAACATTGATTTTAATAGTTATTTGTTCTCTTTCAAATCATATCATTTTTGTTTGAAACATTTTTCATTTAAATGATATTAAATGACAAAGTATCTTTTGAGACCGTAAATGTGAATACACACATAACAACTAGGAAATAAAAGCCTTAAAATGGTCAAGCTGGATTTTTTAGTGCTTAAATAATTTTGTGTGTGTGTGAATTTATATTTACATATCTAATCCTACAAAGACCGCGCCGAATTTAATTTTCAGTCTTAAAACGCAATTCTAATAGAACAGAATAGTAATATCACAAATTAAATTGACAAGCAATTTAATAATATTGATACTCATATACAGAAAAAAATATCATTCTACTAAGAAAATTGATTACTCTCAATTTATTTTCTTCCTTTTAAGTAACAGTTATCTTTAACAAAGAATTTTTTTCCTTGATAATAATCTTAAAATATATACTTATTACAAATTTTAGAAAAACTCATTAATATAAAAAGTACTAAAAAGAAGAATTTATTTTCTTTCAAAAAATATTTTATAAAATTAGACGAAAACGTGATTTTATATAATAAGCAAATTTATTTTAATTCCATCTTGATGTTAATGTATTACTTGGATTTAAAATATTTATATTTTGAATAAATTTGATGCTTGTAAATTTATGATAAATTTGTGGATATATAATCTTTTGAAATACATGAAACAAATAATTATTTACATACAATATATATTTTTCTTGTAGGCAGATATCTTAGAAAGATATTCATAACCTGATGTTCTTACATCTTAAAATTTGTAGATAATTTTATTTACGAAAGATATTAGTCAGGATTTAAAAAATATTACTTTATTTGAATATCCTGGAATTTTTCCGTATCTTCTCAAGATATTTTATAATAATATCACAAAGTTAAAATGGAACACCCTCTATATGCAAGTCTGAAACATACGCTGCGTTCGTTTTTATACTGGAAAAAGTCATGTTGCATTAATTGGAATTCGGGTAAATTCAACTAAAAAGACAAGTTAGATGCTTATAATTAAATCTATAATTAAATTAAATTTTAATCGAGATAACCAAAGAGACAATTACGATAACCAGAATTCTAATTCATATACCTAATCAAAGTTTCGTTTGTACTTCTTATTAGTACAACCAGAATATTATTCTTACAATCGGTGTATAAGAACATTCAATAACATAAATGCCTCTGATTAAATCAAATGGCAAATTGCCTCGTTGATCGATGCCGCACCGATTTGTAAACTGATTTAGATTTAGAAACCGATGATCCTATCTAGATTATCTAGCGGTATAATTAGTGCAAGCTGATCAACCATGAAATTCTCATGCGAGCGAAGCATGGAAACGAAGTGAGAAGAATGCCCGAGCTGGGCCACTCGTTTCTCGCATTTTAATTAATAATTTATACGACTCTCTCCGTGGCGCGATGGCATCTGTCACATCCGTGATGGAAATTCTGATCTCGAAAACTTGCGTAACAATACGAAAATTTCTGACGAATAAGATAGCCTTGCATCTATTAATCAACGAGATCAACGACCAATCGAAAACAATTCTAAGCGGAGATCAATCAATTGCGAAATTTCTTGCGTGACGATCGTCGCATTGGATGCTCGAAAAGAAATCGTTAGGGCTGAATAAAATATATAATATCTGTTCTACTTTTCTCTCTTTCTTTCTCCAACACAGCTGCATATTTAATTATTTTCCTCATAAATCAATTATTATTTCATCGAAATCGCATATCGCGAACAGGGTAATTACAAACGACAATTTATTTTTACTAAAATCAATAACAAATTGGTATTAATTTTCAAAACTGTACACTACCCTTCTGGAAAATGATATGTGAATGTTGCGATATAATTTGAGATTTAAATAAAAAAAAATATTAATAGAACTAGGATGAGAGTACACAATGACTCTATTCTTTTAAAACTATGTAGATGGCACAATCGATACGCTTTTACGTTACTGCATGCCACTTGTCACTTTACGACCTTGTTGGCACTTTACAATAGAAATGTCTTTAAAAAACTTGACACACATCTGAATGGCATCTGTAGTGAAATATTTTTACGTAGAAGATTGAAATTCAAATAATCGAGACGTGAGTAAATCCTATTATTATATATTAATGATACTGTGAATTTCATTTATATTGGACTATTCGTTCACAATTAGCAGCAATCAAACATTGTATCTCTGTAAAATAGATGCGTTTAAGAAACCTTACTGGCGCCTCATGATTTATAGAGGAAGCCATATCACGCTGAATTAGACGCATTTGCCGCGGCACTTAATTACGTTGATCGATCAGTGACGGATCATCACTCCTCCCGCTATTTAGTTAAATTGAAATGTAACTGTTTGCTCTTTTCATCTGACTGCATGTCTAATATTTACCAATTCGATCTACCGTTTTTACTGGTTGCGAAAGGTAATCATTCTCTCGCGTTTCTTTTGGCAGAGCTATCATTACCGGTGATGGAAAGTCGTTTCACATCGATTACACGAAATTTTCAGACGATCAGAAATCTTATCTAGAAAATTGACAGATAAGTTTGAGAGGACTTCGAGTAAGAGAGAAAGGAGAGCGAAGTGAAATTTACATTTAAATAGATTTTTCAACATCTTATCATTAATGTAAAAAGGAAAGAAAACATTTCACGGTATCTTTTTTCATCGAAATGAATATTCAATTCGTTCCAACATTACTCCAACATTCTTAGAATAGTACGTAGTAAGGATGCATTCTATTCAAGTTCCACAATAGAAATGTCAGAGTAATGCCAAAAAGCCCAACGAATAGAATCAAGACCAGATTGGTTTCACATTAGTAATCGATTCTACGATCAGTAACGCCGTGACATAAATCGATTCTTAATTGGCGAATTTCCGCCATTCTTCGCCATTCCTATAGTTGCTGCAAAACACCGTTTTGTGTTGCGCAAGACAAGGACGGTAGATCTTATCAGTGTCGGTTTTATTTTTTTTCTGCTGCTGACGTCGCCAGGCGAGGCGAGAAAGAGCGCGTTTGTGATGGACGATATAGGAGAGACGGCGTTAAATTCTTGGTGTCGTGTAATTTAGAGCGGCCGTCCTGCATATGACGTGGCTTACGTAAGAACGTTGCGATAGCAACGCGTTGAAAGTAAATTAGAAAAGGGAGCATTTTCGAGCTGTATGTTGTGTAACGTTCAAAAGACTGTCATTATCAACTTTCAAAGAGCATACTTTTACTGTAGCATTCTTCGTTTAACGAAGTGCTGAATATAAAGAAAGGTGATAAAGAGAGAGAGAGATAAAATTTATATACTCAAAAGAAAGGATCCCCTGAAAAATATCAGAGATAAGGATTAAACGAGTTGCTCCTAACACGTTATCATACGTCGTAAACACTGTTGAACATCCTATTGTTTCTTCGCGCTAAAGAGGCTATAAAATCGCGAGGGGACGATACGTCGCGCGTCGGGTGGAAGACAACGCGGTTATTAATGATAGACGCGGTTACTACCGGCCGTTTGATATAAGGGGAGAAGAAATAGTGCGAGGCAATTGATTGCACTTCTATATCTTTCTCGCAGAATACGAGTCCAGTAATCGTGAGAGAGACGAGTTTTGCTAGAAAGACAGGCTGAAATTACGACTCTATCCCACGGGATTCACCGGTTTCACGCGCATCCCGGGGGACAGCCGCGAACACCCACGTATCTCACGTCTCGTTCGTTAAATAAATCTCGAACGCGTTATATCGTCGCTCGTTAGCGACGGCGACGGTCCTTCGCTTTAAACGTCGCTCGCTTTATCGCCAAAGTCCGCGGGATCCTGACGGATGTTCTTCCGGCGACCGCGCTATCAGCTTAGTCGCTACGCCTGCGCCCTCCTCCTCTTCCTCTTCTTCTTCTTCTTCTTCCTCCCTCGCTATCCCCGAGCGAATCCGGGCCTTCGGGAAATGCCACATGACCCACGAAAATAATTAAACCTCGGCAGGATCGTCCCTTTCGATCGCATACGAGAATCGGCCCGGTCGGGAGCCGTGTTGAGCATGTTTGCGAAAAGCGGACGCGCGCGTCACGGAATTACATATATATAATAATTAAATCCTCATAGATAGCCGCAATTATAATCGTGACTATTGGTATACGCAGACAGTGATCGAAAAGTTCATTCACGCACGTCGTGAATTCTCATCAAAGCAAATATTTAAGTGCGTATTACAGCGGTTGCATAGATAAAAATCTCATGAAATATCAGAACGTTACGACAGCTAATTACTTTTATGACAGGGAAAGAAGCAGCTCGCGATTCAGGAGAGGCAGAGGAAACGACGGAACAGCAGACACATGTAGCATTCGGGTGAGTGAGCACATCTTTGTTTCAACCTTCTGCACCCGGCGGGCTATTATGACAGCTCCGACGTTTTCTGCTCGAGATCACGCGGAAACGGGATCATCTGCGCGTCGGGCTTTAATATACGGACAGGCGGGAAATGCGTTCCAATGTAACATCGGGTTTTAATTCACGGAGCTCTCCAACGGTTAATCTTCGCGTTTCGTTTCGTTCGCCGTTAAACTTATATTTTATACGCGTATAAAATTCGCATGATATACATTTATACAACGCTAATGCTCGGCAAATGCAGTGCCCATCTCTCCCGGAATGGGATTGAACTGTGAATCAGATTAAAATTGGAAACTCACAGTCCGCGTAGGAGATATGAGAATAGAACGTGAGAGAGTAACTGCTTTCCCACCAAGCAGGAAACTTGGTGGAGCAAGTTGAGATGTAGTACATTTTTAATCTACAGTCCGATTCATCTTCCACTCCCGTTCTCCGAGTGAGATTAAAAACATTAAATATATATAGCTTAATGCGCGGTTTAAAAAATTTAATCGAAAATCATTCGTTTTCTTTTTTATCGTGTCACACACTCCGTTAAAATTGATAATATATATTATTTATTCTTCTTCTTGCTATTATTTCTGTGAATGTTCCTTTTTCTAACCTCAGGCATCAGTATAATGAAGCCGTCCATGAAAATGGGAGTGATCGCCTTGATAGGGATCTGCGTAGTCTTTTATCAATATCACCTGTCCACCGGCGTTACTTTCGACCAAGTAACGGCCTTCAATGCCGATACTTCCGCGGACGATGCCGGGGATTTGCCGATCGGTGAGGAGGGTGACAGTAGAACCCCAAGGCTCGCCGAAGAAATGGTAAAAAATAATTATTAATATTTATTGTGCCATATATATCAATCCTGTATGTCCTTACTGAGCTTTGCGATTTTTTTCTAATTCTTTGTTGAGCTCAAAGACTGGAAATTTTGGTGGTTACATTTAAAAAAGAATCATCTCTGAATATTAATAAAATATGAGATACTTTCAAATATTTATATACATGCTATAAAGATAAAAAGAAGTAACATTCCGTATACTGGGTACATCGTATCATATATGCTCAATACGACTCAAAAAAATTATTTTCCAAACAATAAACTTATCTACTTATCAGGAGACGCGATAGTGTCTCCGGCCATGTTCAAAAACTGAAAGACACTACAAGTCTCTTATTCCGAGCCACCAAAGTCCATTTTTGGGGAGTGCATAACTACTAAAATATTTATTTATCTGCATTATTTCCACGATGTTTAACAAGTGAAGAATCCATAATTTGAAATAACAAAAGTACAAAAAGAATATTACAATCGATGTGTCCAGTATGTCTACAGGTTGGCCATATTGAGTTTATCTTACAAAAAATTTCTCTCTTTGATTATAAACGAAACATTCTGACAAAAATATAAACTAAATGCATAATATTGTAAAATATGAATACAAAGGCTACAATAACATGAATTACTGAAATTAATAACCATCTTTTGGTAGTTACAGAAAACAATTATTTATTTACGAAATATTACATATCATGACCACGACAGTTTATATTTTGTTTTATTAACAATGAACAAATTGAATAATAAAATGCAATCAAATTAGATGGACAACCTGTATAAGCTATTACTGCTATTTATTGAATTATTTGTAGATATTTAATTACCTACAAGCAGCGAATGTTGGGTGTTTTGAGTACACGTCCATTAGGTTCGATTGTCTTTTATTTTACACATTTGTTATACACGATACTTTGTCAGACGAGTTATAATTTTTTTTTTTTTGCAGATTCGATACGCCGTCTACCGAGTACAAATCACGAACGGCCTGAGTCCGGAAATAAGCTCGATGCTCGTGCAGGAACTCATCAATCAGTTAAGCAAAAACGCCTCGGTGGCCTCGAGAAATAATTTCAAGTCTCCGCCGCAATCGCAACCCCCAGCGACGGCGATACACAGGACGGTAACGCCTCGTCCGTCGCTCCCTTCCGAGGAATCGTCCGAAGAACCCCTGTACATCATCACGCCCACATATCGAAGACCCGAACAGATCCCTGAACTCACGAGGATGGCCCATACCTTAATGCTGATCAAAAATATACATTGGCTCGTCATCGAAGATGCTAGCGTCGCTACCAAGCAAGTCACCACATTATTGGAAAGGACAGGCTTGAAGTTCGATCATTTAATCGGTAAGTGAATTTCAGTTATAAATGTGCTGCAAAATCGCAAGTGATAACTGTGATGCGGTAGCAATGCACGAAGTATGATATTCATAGTCTGTTCTTATTTTGAAACTGTCTTAAGTATAATGTTTTAAGATAACAATACGGCCCTCTGATTTGTTTCTTATAGGATTTAAGACCGTACTTAAGACAATCGTCAAATATATAAGAGTCTTCTATGAATATCGGCCTAAAAAAAATGTTCTGGTTGATGAATAAAGGATTCTTATTACATCCATCAGAATTCTAGTTATCTCAACTAAAATAATCTAGAAAATTCTGATTCGTCTTCAACCGTTTCAATTAAACAATTCAGACATTTTTCTCGGTATATGAATGGTTTGTGTGTTATATTTGCGCAGCTCCGATGCCGGAGAAATACAAACTCAAGAAGGGCGCCAAGCCGCGAGGGGTGTCGAACAGAAATCGCGGTTTACGGTGGATCAGGGCGAATGCCACGAAAGGTGTGTTCTACTTCGCCGACGACGACAATACTTACGATATTGAACTTTTCGACGAGGTACGATTGTGTGTGATTACAAGTATTTACTTCGCTGAAGATCTGAGATGTGTTTCTAAAAGATTCTTTAACATGTTTTTTTTTTTCTTTCAGATTCGCAAGACAAAGACAGTGTCGATGTTTCCGGTGGGATTATGCACCAAGTTCGGACTGAGCTCGCCGATCTTGAAGAACGGAAAATTCGCAGGGTTCTACGATGGTTGGGTAGCTGGACGGAAGTTCCCGGTGGACATGGCCGGGTTCGCCGTGAACGTCAAGTTTCTGCATCAGCGGCCGAACGCCACCATGCCGTTCCGCGCAGGATTTGAGGAGGACGGATTCTTGAAGAGCCTGGCACCATTCGAGCCGCGGGAAGCCCAACTGCTGGCGGACAATTGCACCAAGGTGCTAGCCTGGCACACACAGACGAAGAAGAATGAGCCGAGCGCGCCGTTGGACATGAAGCTTTATGGCGCGACGAATCTGGTGAAGCTCAAGCAACAGATAGTATGATGTCGGCCGGGACAACGAAGATGCGTGAACTCGAACCTGAATCTTGTGTGTAATCCCGCCCCTCCTTCGCACTAGTTCATCGGTGTCACTCCAGGGGAATTCCTAGGTGCGGAAAACTGTGCGATTCAGTGCCTAAAAGTATATCTACCTTCTCTCTCACGGCGAGAGCGGGAAAATCGTTGTTACCTTTAAGCATAGTTGGTAAAACGAATCGTTTTTTTATCAGCTTTTACACATCCGCAACAAGTAGGTCGCTCCGAAGACGCCCTTGCTCCGAGAAAGAATACCGCGGTGGGAAAAGAGAATAAAGTAAGATTCTCGGGGTAATGCTATATGACTCGATACAGTGCAGAAAATTTACGCGTAGAGTCCGAAACCGTATTACCGTTTACTTTTTGGCATTCCCACTTTTGTGAAGTGATGCACGGAATGAACAGTTTTGCTAAACCTAAAAATTTAGCTGTAAGATACAGATTTAAAGATAATTTTACTTGAATCTCACACGCACACATCAAAATAATTATGCAAGACATTTAAACTGATGGTTACAATGTTAATTTACAGCATTATCCTCAAGGTTTTACATGATTATTTTGATAGTCTTCAACAAATTATTTTCAAATCTGTGTGTAGTTAAATTTTTTGCTTCAGCAATATTGTCTATAAATGCGAAAAGGAAAATGAATTCCTTGTTAATAATATACCAATTGATATACATATAGTGAGATAATGATGTCCGTTAAGCGAAAATGGAGGCGAGGTTTTGAAGCATCTTTACGCGTATAAATATTAAAGTCGCGCACTGTGCAGATCAACGACCAAAGAAAACAAATGAGTCACTCGCTGTAACGTTAAACTCTTACACTTTACTCTACCTGAGGGATACGTCCCGAATTCTATAAATAGATACTCTATTCTATTCCAATCTATTCCATAGCGAAGTTTTATTCCTAAACTTGCTCTAGTATGACGCAAAGTCACAAATGATTCGATCGAAAAGTGAAAATATCCGGGCGATTTTACGCTTTAATTCACGCCGATCGATCTTTCAATCATGAACCTGACATTGCTTGTCAATCTAATTACCAAGTATAATGTTTAACGATCGTCGTTTAATCCTGTCCTGCCTCTTAATGCGATTAGCAAGTATAGGTGATTGCAAGATAAAGAATTAGAGCAAGTCCTTAATAAGAATTCCTCGTAGCTTCAAAGGATTTCGAATGACAAAATTAAATGTCGGAAAGTCGAAGCACGAAAATCGAAGTTTAGCTCTGTCGACAATAGAGAAATTATTATTTACGCGGGGATTTCTGATTAAAATTTGAAATTTTCTTCGACAGGTATTTTCGATCGAAGAATATTGAGTAGAAATGCACCTTTGACTTATTTAGTCTTCAACATAAATCAACATAAATCAGCATTTAAAAAATGCTGAACATGCAGTATGCGCATAATTATCGTAACTTAGTCCGAATAAATTTTTCAGGTTTTCCAAAGAATCTGAAAAATTGTTTTTACCACTGAATATCGTGGAATGCCTATATTGTACTAGTAGCATTCACCGAAACAAGCATCCTCTTCTGACTGAACAGAGATACTTTTGATTTTCTCGAGTTGCGCTCGTCGCTGCTCTTTCATTTCATTCAGCATAATCCATTTATTTCATCAAATAATGTCGAAATTATAAGCAAAATAGCGAATTATAATCAAATAGAGCGTTTCTGTTACCAATGTACTTGCGTGCGTAGAAAATATGTACTTCCTAGAAAGATATAATATTTAATGCCACGTTTGATTCCTCTTGCACGATTCGCGCAAGTTGAGTAGTACTACAAAAAGATAGGAAATAAGAAAGGTGTGCGAAATCCAAAGAATCTGTTTCGATTGAATGCCGATGACATCGACAGAATAGTATCGAATCAGGATTGTACAGTGGAACCTTGATAATTCCGAACGTCTTCATTACTCTAATAACATATCGCTAAAAATTCGACCAATATTGGATCAAATATTATGTATAATTTTCTATGATCTTACTTCATATGTATACACATATTTCGTACGTTACCATTATTTCTTTGATCGGAGAATAACGTAGTTATTTCAATTGTGCAACTTATGTATTTAAAAAAGACGAAGCTAAAAATGAGTTACATAAAGTAATTAACCGTGTGGAACAAAAAAAAAGTATTAATTAATTATCACTCAGCTTAATTCGGGCATTAGGAGTTCTGCTGTACGAACGCTCGGAAAACTGCGGAAAAATAATAAAATTTTTTTTTATTCTTGTATATTATATGTATATTTAGTAATATTTTCGAGTATACATCTTTAACATCAATATTAGAACATTAAATATTATCAATTAAATCTAGAGATCGATCATGTAACATTTCCAACCATAAAGATGTGAAATTGTTCACGCGAATCTTTTCGCCGTGGTGGCGAAAAAAAAAGGCGGAAAGGAAATTAATCATTATACTTTGAAAAATTTATAAAAGAAGTGTAGTTCAGCCAATAGATTATTTCGGGACATAAATTATCATGTTAAAATAAGATCAGACTATGAATATCGGTCCAGAAGCCAGCGCATTCAAGCACGCTATGCGTGAAAAGTTTCACGTGAAATTATGCAAATGATTGACCCCCAGGGTAACATATTTTTTTAATTTCCAATAATTTCTTACGACACATTAATTTCCGAAAGTGCTCTACTTTTATCTAACGTGTGACGCTTTAACCCGTAGAAGCGTGATTCTACCGTATGAATAATTTATTATTATTTATGTTCTAATATAAATGTACATATATTTATATATAAATATATGTATATGTATATTATTGCTACGGCACTATACTCAAAAAATTACAGTATATATATATATACATAAAATATCTATAGGATATAATTGCACTATTTAGAAATTGATCAAATGTCGAAAAAATGAAATGGCATTAAATTTTTCCTCATTCACATATCCTGCCAAAATGTGCGGAGATTTGTGTACAGAAGATATGTTATTCAAGTTTTAAATTGATTTATACGGATACAGTCCGCAATAAACTTACGATAAGCAATATGTGCAAATCTCGCACAGTTAGATTGTAAAGAGAGAAAGAAAGAGAACGCGCGTGCGAGAGAGAGAGAAAGAGAGAGAAAAAGAGAGAGAGAGAGAGAGGAAGAAAAATAGATAGGTGAACGATTTTATTTTTATTTTATCACAATATGTAGGAAGACACGTCTGAGTTTTGATTTTGTGACATTATAGAAAGTACTTAGCGCATTGATTTCAGATGGTTTGTATATACGATTATGTTGTTTTATAATATCAGTTCTACGTGATATAGGCGGATAAAGATGCCTCCATCGCGAGTAATGCTCAAATTTCCGGCAATCCAGAGGCTGAGTGTGTTTGCGTAAGCCGGAAATTGTATATATAAATCCTTATTTCTATAAACGAAGATATAAATCTTTATTTTCTAAATAATTTTAAACATTCTAACAAAATCAATCTTTTGTTATACACACACGTGTGCACTCGCACAAACACACACATATATTCATATCACACCCAGGTTCGAAAGAATTGAAGAGGATAAGAGTACTCTTTGATGGAATAAAAATTACAGTGCACACATGTTTCCCTCGTTATTTTGTGTCTTATAATAAGAATTATTTAATTCGTATTTTTTTTCAATTCAGTATTTTTGCAAATTCGGAGTACATACTCAAAACTGTTCTGATGCATATATAATATTCTTTTCTCCATTTTTATGGAATCTACTTACAAGGATATTTTTGTATCAAGTCTAATTTTTTCAAGACATAATGCTTACTGTCAATGAAAAAAGAAATTTAGAATAAGTGAAGATTCTCAAATTGCATCTCAGTACCTCTTACTACAATGTAACGTTACGCGCAACATCTATATTCAATAAGGAAACAATAATAAATAGCAAAATAACGAAAAAAAACGTAATAGGAAGTATAAAAAGTTTTCAGTCGTCGATTGAATACGTTTAATATATTGTGCGCTGACGATAATATCGTACCGTAAAATTATAAATTGACAAGCTGTTGCTGTACAAAAATCTAGCAGTTTTGCCAGAAATTTCAGTTAAGAACAATAAACTATTGTTTCAAGAAATTATCTCTTTTAATATTTTCCCTTTAATTTTGTCTTTCTAAATCGACATTACCATTCGTAGAAATAGACACGATAGTAAATAGTTTTTTTTATATTTAAAAAGGAGTTCTTATTTATTTTGTACATTTAACGTCGTAAATTTCACCAAGAAATTCGTTGGGCATAAGGCTGATCCTTCCAATAAAATACTTTAATGGAAAAAATCATAAATTGCAAGAAATTGATAACGATAATCGTGAAAGCTTCACAAATAATCTGCCACCTTTCTGGCCTTTTCATATTTAAACGGTAAAATATGTACGGCAAAATGAAATAACGTGGTTCTACTAGTAATTGAGGTATTAGCACTATGCACACGCAAATAACATAATTAATCTGTGTGAGAAATCTCAAATGAGCAATGTTCCGTGACATGGCGAACAGGCTAGCGCAGTAAATCGGTATCAGTAGGTACTTGAATACCGCGTATCGGCCCATATATCGATTCCACACGTAAAACGAGTAATGTCGATTATCAGCCAAAATGTACGGATGAACGAGTGTATTGAAACATATCGTCATGGCCATTAATGCAATAGCACCGCTCGCGAAAATCCAATGCTGACGAAGAAATCGCAAACACGTTTGCCAATGAGGTATAACATACGGCCATGAGAACAGAGAAACGAAAGCAGAGAAATAAAATATCTGACAAACGTGGATTGTTGCAACATGGGCACTACGATCACCGACCACTATGCCTCCGTTCCATATGACAAAAGCAACGAACATGACACATACTGTTAAGTAAGGAAGTAAGTTATCACATATCTGCGCAACGAACTTGACGAAGGACAGCGGACCTTTGCGCAATTCGGACATTAGTTGCCTCCAAATTAACTAAAAGTGATTCAAGAAGCTTGTTAGATTAATTTGTCTATAATACTCGTATCAAACTAAAGACTAACACTCGTATTCCTAGTCAGGCCTTATATTTAAAGCTTCCTTAAATTCATCTTTAGATGATCTGTAGCTAATAAAATAATCTATAGAGTATCTGAAGATTAATTTAAGAAGGCCTTAAATATTTAAGACTTGACTATATAAATAAGACTGAGATTAAGGATGCTTTTCAGCAATATACACAGGTGACAATATGTAATATAATAACATATAGTATAATTTCTAAGTATAATGCAATACAAATATAATACAAATTGACACAATCATGCTCAACTGTGTCGTCATTTTACATTACTTTACAAATACCAAATTTTAATATTTCATTACTAATTATTTTTGAAAGTGATACATATGAAGGAGTTCAATGTTTGTATGAAACGTGTAGAATAAGAATTGCATATAAAAAAACCATCATAGCCCAATAACAGATTTCAAAATTATATCCAGATATATTAGTGTTGATTAGCTCTTCTATCAAAGTGAAATAAAAAGAAGAATCTCATATACCAACATAATATGAGAGCTTTTTCTTTATTTTACCTTGATGGTGAAATAAAAAACTAAGCAATATATTCAGCTATGATTTGACATTATTACTATGTCATACAGTGTATAGCTGTTTCATTGCTGGAAAGCAATCAGGAAAAAAAAACTAATCTAAATTTAGTGAACTTTACTTCAATCGATTAAACTTAATCCCATTTTTAGTTTAATATAAGCATTCTCTCTCTCTCTTTCTTTTCATAGGTAATATATAATGTTACTTACAAGAAAGTGCAATGAAGTGCACAGTTTTTCAGAGGGTTCGTTTATCCTTTTATCAAATATGTCTAATGCATGTTCTATAGTGAAGAAACCGAGCCAAACAATATTCGTCTGACGAACGAGCACGGCTAATAGACCTGCATGATTTATTACTTTATTTGTATAGTAATTCCTCACATAACTTAAATAACTGCAGAATAATTACCTGCGAAGGCTGTCATCATCGTGTGCTTACATTGGTGCAGATAAAACATTAAAAGCACCATGTTTACAGACGTAACGTCCGTATAGTAAAAAAAGAAATAAAAATACAATGGTGGAAAAAGGATAAGATTATATGTCAATCCAATAATTGACCATTTATTCCACCAATCCGTCTGGGACTTCCAATTCTTCTTTATAATTTTAAACAAAAGATAGAAGGTCAAGAAAGCCCCATATGCATGCATTTTTCTTATGTAAGAGATACGATGAAAAAGTTGTAAAGGACATATTATCACACCAGTAATAAGGTACAAGCCCGGTAACGTAGTGATTTTAGGATCCCACTGAAAATAATTTAAGACTTACTCCTACATAAAAACCATGTTGAAGATAATAGGCAACTTGTACACTCAACAGGATATTAAAATAAATTGTCCCTGTAATGTTTACCTCTGTAAAATTCCACGCACAATATTGTATCGTCTGAGGTATGTGGAAAGCCTCATCGATGTAATATTCCTGTTGGATATTATTCAAATACCAGGAAAGAAAGTCAATGCTCAAAAAAAATGTGAGAAACAAGATTTGCTTAATCTCATTATACACATTGTATGGTCTTGAGTAATTCAAAGCTGTGAATTCTTTGAGACACTTGATTGTTTTGGTAATTATCCAGTGACCGCCCCTAGTCAATACTGATAAAATATCCATGGTTGTTTCAAAAGCGTATCCAAATACTCAAATTGTGATAAAAATGCCACATCAAGCATCTTCACGACTGATACACTTCGGTGACACTTCGGCTAACCTAACCAATCATTCCGCTGTAAGATAAACTAATGTTCCTTCCGTCGGGCTGTGAGCAGCTGTGAGCTGTGACGTGGGCTGTGTGGCTCCGCAGCAAGCCGGCGAAACGATTGCTAATAATGCTAATACCAGAATTACCAGAGAAAAAGAAGTGAAACGTATCTTCGGAGTAGGTTAGAATAAAAAAGGTGCATAAGAGTGGAGAACACAAAATGATAACCAATCACTTTGGACCTCAGCAAAAAGCGCGCAAGTTTCTTTGTTATTTTCACCTCATTTCAAGATACACAATCGAAGCACAGTATTTCTATTGAAATAATGCCCCTCTTCCGATTTTCCTGTAATTTTGTATATTTGTGTTTTTTCATAGAATAATATATTCCGAAAAGAAAAATCGTCGCTCAAGTCTCGTTTTTTAATTATTTAATTTCAAAGTTTTTTTTTTACGTCGGTAAGTTGGAAAATGATATATGATGTACTGAATATTTACATGATTAGAGTGATTAGAGTTGATTAGAGTCCAATGTAATTAACTGTCAATTTTTTTATTCCATTGGAATTGAGGTTATAGTTCGGAAAGTTTGTCGCCCAAGGATTGGCACGCCTGGAAAGCCGTGACGTTCATTGCGAGCACTTCGCGCGCGTACGCGTAGTAAACTTCAAATCGTTCCTGTTATAACTACTTTCGTGCGATTCAATCGCCTTGATCGCGCCGCGCAAGTAAGAACAATTTTACATTTACAAATAAGTGATAACTCGCTTGAGCGTAATCGGGACACGAAACTGCGAATAAATGACATGATTATGATAGATATATAAAGATAATAATATGAATGAATTGACTCACCATCCGCTGCTCATCTTGCTGGCCAATGGCCATTCCGACGATTGCAACTTTCACTCAATTCAAGATCCTCGCATATCGCGACTTGTATCAATTCGATGTTCACTTCAAATGTTCAATTCAGTTCATATTTGAATGAGCGATATTCACCCGCGTACGGAACGGCGAAAAAAATACAAAGTGAAATGAATTCAGCGCAATTCGGCGCCATTCCGACCGATCGACTGTTGCGACGTTCTCTCGTTCTGCGCAATGCAATGCGCAGTTCTGCGACGAAGCAAACATGGCGGCTACGCAAGCGCGCTGTGCGCGTTCAAATCTGTTACCGACGTCTATGACATGAACGAAGCCACAAGCCACAAGTTGCTTAGCAACCAACTAATTATTGTTAGATTATGTCTCTTGAAACACACTCATAAATAATTCCCATCATTAAAGATATTCTCAATCAAATAAGAATCCTGTTTTTCTTTCCGTTGAAAACATAACAAAATCAAACGACGATTAACGCAGCAAAACAGTCAACGCGATCGAATTTTATGTCGAAATCGATTGTGTTCAACGGAAAAAGCAGCTTCATAATTGTCGTAATAAATTTTCTAATGTGATTAATTTTTGTTCCAACAAAAAATCAAAATGATGTTAAAAATGATTTTATTTTAATGCTTCAAATTAATTGAACAGTCAAATTTTGTAAGTATCCAAAATCGTCATTTTAACGTCGAAGTACGTCATTGACTTTTTCTTAACTTATCGGTGTATTTTTTGGAATATGTGTCATTTTAATTGCAGGATAAAACTCCGATTTTGGTTTCGCTTTATAGTGAAGTATCCATGCTTTGAAGAAAATCTTCGATCTCAACCATTTTAAAGTGGTTGCGGTTTATTGTGTTAGAATGTGGGAAGTGATCCTTTTATGCGCAAAATTCGCTATATTTTCATTACTATTATTAAATTGATGAAATGTTGTACATATAATTAACTTGTGTCAAAAAGAACGTGTTGCAATCACAATCTCACACAGTTAAAAAGTTATTGTTTTTTGATACGCTATTTTAATTCAAATAGAAAGAAAATATCATGTTAGATAGAAGAATATGGAGTAACAATTGATAAAGTAGACATCCAAAAAGCTAGATAGATATCCAAAATTTTTGTTTCATTAAAAAATCCGTACTTTTTCTATAAAACTATTACTTTTTGTTAGTTTATATTCTATACAGCACAGAATATTTAAATTGATAAATATTTATTACTATAAATTTTTTAAAATAATAATTTATATAAATATTTTATGCGTGTTGTGTGTAAAGCTTTTATGTAAAGTTTCTATACTTTGAGTTAGTTAATAAATTTTTGCATTTTTTAAATCAATGTTTATGTAGCAGAATCAGAAACTTAGAAAGTTTTTGTATAGAAAAATAACAAAAGGATCTTCAAGTAAAGGATTTACGTGAATAAAAGACGATATGTTTATTAATTTTTGTTTTTGTTATTTTCTCCACATATAATTCTTTTACATATCACGCGAAGACATTACGATTTAGCAATGGTCCTTTTTGTTGTGCCGAAAGACAAAAGTTGTAAAAAAAGGAAAGGTACCTTTCAACCCTTAAGTACGGATTTTGCTTTTCGTCATTTTGTTATATGCTCAACACAGTTGAACTTGAAGTATATTTTTCGAAAATTTATCTTCTTTCTTGGCAAAGATAATAATTGAAACGTAAATTGAATATATGGAAAAAGTGACAAAAGCGTAAACAGAGTTTCTATCATAGAAGACGAGAATTAAGACAACGAAAACGTGAAAGACATACTTTTTTTCGTTGTCTCAGTTTTCGCCTCTTAAAGGCTTTGTTTACTTTGTTAGAGACTTTCTGTCAGTTTTTCTTATTTTATATATTAAAAGTACTATTCAAAGTGAATAATGTGCTCAATACTCAAAATGTGTGATTAATTGTTCACAGTATTAATATTATAAATTTCTACAAGGACAACTTTATGCACACTTCGACTTTTATTCTCGCCAAGCATGTGTTACGATTAACCGAATTGTTTTTCCATCGCGTGAAGAAACGCATGTAAAATGTGGAAAATTGCATATCCGTTTTCTCAATCGAGGAATCATGGGATTGTGAAATGATCAATGTTTGCTTCATACTTAAGGGTGAAGTTCCGCGGTTGACTGTTGCTAATGGCATCGAACTTATTAAGTCTGCTTTTATTCACTGGATATCAAGTAGGTGTAAAAGCTACCCTCGAAATATGATGGCAATAATCTATGGCACGAACTGTACAACGATATATTATTTTCTAACATGTATCGCCGCGGAATAATGCGCGAGCAAAAATTACATACGTAATCCTCGCTTCTATTGTCATACAAAAAAAAAAATAACAATAAACACTTTGAGACTCTTCATCATAAAATAATAATGAAGTCAATTTCTCAAAATACAGTTTGCTTTTCGTGAATCTTTTACGAGTTTCGCAATCATAAATGCAATTTTCTGAAAAGGAAACAAAAAAAAAAGAAAACGTATAGAGATAACTCGCAAGGAAAAACTGGACTACAAATTGCGGCTGAAACGAAATGTAACGTACTATACACGTTGCAGTATCATGTAAGCGTAATTCTTGTAAAACGCAAAAATGGAAGACAAATATGCATTGTTGTATATATGTTCTATATACTTATACATTTTACAAGCAAATTCGCTTAGTGGGGCCTACGATGACTAAAGTTAGGAAGTATTTAGTGTTTCAAGCATATCATTATAATATATTCCAAAATCATCTAAAGAACTTGTCGCTCGCACCGCGAGCTGCACATTGATAACCGATATTTCAGTGTCCTACAATTACGTACATTTATATTTTGTATCGCGGAATGGATGTCAAATAAGTGACTACCAAAATAATCCTCTTTTCTTTTACAGTACTTGCGTATACAGATAACTGAAAGGAAATATTCGCGCACTCGTCGCATTCCGCGTGCATGTATTGCAGATATGGCATTACGATATGATGATATACAGTGTCGATTGCTCCCTTCGTTCGTAGTCTGGTTCATGTAGGATAATTAATAACTAAACTGATTATTTGGCTAAGATAGAAACAGAACACTTACTCTGAGTACGCAAGAACACTTTGTCAGGATCGCATCTCGCGAACGTTTTGCCATATTGTACGATTGAAAATGTACGAGAGATACCCGCGTCAACGGCGTATAATATTTTTCAAAATTCTATGATAACTTATATATATAAAAACTCAAAAATTAGAAGTCTCATACATGACACGGCTATAACAAGTAACATCATGTTGTCGTCTATAAATTTATTCATACTTTTAATCCTAATCCTTAAATTTAATTTATTCTCTTGTATATATATATTCTTGATTTCTCGAACTCTCGCAAGTTCAAGAAGTTATATGGCAATATTTTAACGATAAGCCGCGTAATAAGTTTGCCGATATGTTTGCCGTAGGTGATCGATCTTTCGATCACGAAGCTCTTAAAGGATGCGAGATTTAACTATTGATAAACACCCCAGCTCATATCGACGTGGTCGCGTGACAATCGGCTCCATTTTGCGTTTGCTGTGTGTTGTGCGGTAATGTCGCGAGCTCGTTCCTGCTGAGATGTTGAACGATTCCCGCGCCGAGCGAGTCGCCGATGACATTGATGGTTGTTCTACATCGATCTCTGCAAATTATGCAAGCGCATCACGTTTAACACTACAGATATGTTTTTTTTAATTTAATGTAAAGAAAGGAAGAACGCAACTTACAGTAACCAATCGACCGCGATGATTAAAAAGACATCGTTCGCCGGAAGTCGTACTGTGTCTAATACCATTACCATGGTCACTAGGCCGGCCTGCGGAATTCCAGCCGCGCCGATACTGGCAGCCGTCGCCGTGATACTAGAACAAGATATTATAGATGCAATTGGATACGTGAAATAAACGATTTTGCTGAAGTATATAAAATTAAATTTTGCTAGATACAGATGTTAAAATAATTTCATTGGACTCAATCAATAATTGTACACATATTGTCCAAAATTTTTGAAATTAAAATCTTATTTTAATGAGTATAAATTGAGCCAGCATTGAAGTAGCTCAATTTTCACTGAGTGAGATTTTATTTTAAAAATTTAGAGAATATTAAATAATTATGTATAGAATTCTCAAGATGATTGCTAGA